TCTCAAATTAAATATCAAATATACCAAACATGAAAATCTTTTAATAATTAAATTAATAGTAAACCACTTTTTCCCACTAAAATAATGGTTTAATGACACTTTCTCACTAAAAAACTTTTAAAATACCACTTTATTACCAAAACTTATATTCCGTTTCCGATTCCAACATCGTTGCAACCCTATACTATCATCATTTTCTTCCCTGATTATTACTCCTCAAATCCTACTCTTGTTGACCTCGCCAATCGTTCGTCAACAATTGAACGATTAGGGTTTATGTAACCGCCAATTTTAAGTCAAATTTTGATCAATCTCACCCACTTAAATCCAACTTTCCACCACAATAAGACTCATCGGCCTCTCCTCTTCAAAAGCTCCAACATCCTAAACCAAGTTTGTTTTATGTTTGCCGTCGAAATATAAATTTAGGTAGTAAAGTGATATTTTAAAAGTCTGTAGGTGGAAAAGTGTCATTAAACTATTATTTGGGAGGGAAAAAGAATCATTTACTCTTAAATTAATGAAATTATAATTATAAACACATCTATAAGTTTACTTCAGAAATAGAAAAATCCCTCAATAAAAAAATGAATCATATAATGTGATGAGATATATTCAATCTTAACTTGTAGAAAAAGAAGAATCCCATGATATAAGACCCCAAAAATGAAAAATAGTTTAATAAGAAGAATAATATGGGGCATAATTAGTTAATTAAATTATGGGCAGGGGTGCACGCATGGACATGCGTGTTAAACTAAATTATAGATTGTCTCGTAGAAACTATGAACTTAGTAGAGAAGAGGAGAGATGCTCGTATATATTGAGGGGTCCTTCAAATTGACAACTCATTTAAAGATTCTTCACTACTAGGATCCTTTGCCTTTCCCCAATTGCAACCTTTTTATTTTAATAATAATAATCCACTATAAAGTAATTTTGAAAGTATTCTTAAATAAAATTTCAAACATAAACTATCTAATTTTTTTTTTTAATTTATAGCATAAAAATATTGAATATTAAATATTTATTTTGGGTGAAAAAAAAAGTGATAAATGATAAAATTAGTACGGGTTAATTATTATTTTAAAGTGTGTGACAATAATATAAGTGAAATATATATGGGATGTTTATCTTGAACAATAGAAAGTGGGGGGGAATAAAATTGGTTAAAAAAGGGAGGAGAAGGGCATTATTGTCATTTGTGGCCTTGTGAGAGGTGGGTGAGGGAATAAAGATAAGGGACCTACTTGCCTCCAAAACGACGGGCACCCACGTCGGATTCAGGGTACCTGACAAAAATGCCACCTTCAAACGATGCCCCATCTCAAGATTTTCACAATCTTCTTGTCTCACTATTTTGGATCAGATGGAGAATTTTAGGAGAAATCGTCTACTAGAATCTCTTTCCGAAAAGACATATTTGCCCTTCCATCCTGCTTTTAACATTGCTGTCTGGTACTTGTTCTTTGCTTTTTATACACTATACTTTTTGGTTGTATTACCTCTAAATTCTGTGTCATATATAACTTGTAAATTTGCACTTTTTCTGCTTTTACTAACCCCTTCAAATCACTACAAATAATTAATATCTCATTAATATAAAATATTATCAAAAATAAATAATTATTTTATGTTATGGCCTATGGGTATCAAAGTCTTTCACTCAATCTTTTAAATTAAATTAAATAGGGCTTTGAACAGCAACAGATAAAGCACTCAATTATGCAATAATAAAAAAAATGAAATTTAGAAGTGATTGGATCCCATGTCACTGCTGCACTAACACAGTTTAATGCACCCAAAACTGCTAAGAGAGACAATGGCATTATCGTAATATTGGTAATAGAAGAAGGGTAGTTAAGGGACAGAAAGTGAAGTGGGGGGTAACGTGGGACAGTTGAGATTTAGTTAAACTAGAGCCTCAAACATTGACAAAAGAAGAAGCCTGATTCCGTAGGGAGAAGGGTAACTCCTTATTTGCAAATTATAAAAATCTCAAGGACTAAATTGAAAACTATAATAAAAATTTTAATTTAAAAAAAAAAAAGAAAAAAAGAAGAAGATGAGATTCCCATAAGGTACAAGAAAATGTTTCTGACGCCCCACTTGAGTGAATAATAATACAAAGAAAAGTTGGGTTTCGTAAGCCATATTGCGGCTCACCATTTTATTTTTCTTTTAATAAATTAATTGATTTAATTAATTAATTTCCACTGTTGAGAGTCAAAAGGAGTTTGCGTGTGGGTGTTGAAGAGGGTTTTAAGGAGTAAGAGAGAAACGTCAAAGGCTGCAATTATTGTGTTTTGAGTAAAATATGTTGTTCAGTGGGAATGTCTTTGTGCTTCAATTAATTTATAACTTTAACCATTCTTTCTTTTTTCTAATAATGACCCTTATTTGGTATATTCTTTTTCTTTATGGGTCATTATTCTTATTTTAATAATTTGGTTTTGGTTTGCCTTTTTTAGGTTGCCCTCTTAGAAGCATCCCATTTTTTCAAAAAAATGGGGTTTAATTTACAGTGGTTTTTTTTTAAATAGATGTATTGTCAAATTATTAATTTAATTTACAACATATTTGACTGGATTTAACTTTATTTAAAGGCGGGCCATAATAAAAGTGACAAAATGCATTCAGATTGCTTTAACACAAACAATAATTAATTAAACATACGAAACATAATTATAATCTTTTAATTTTTTCTATTTTAATTATTAATTTATTAGTAAAATAGACAAATGAGTTGAAAACTGAGAATAGTGGTTAGAGCTTTATTTCAATCATTAATATATCATGCTCTTTTTTTTTTTTTGGGGGGGGGGGGGGGGGGGGGGGGAAGGGGATGTGTCATGTTTAAAGTGGTTCACTGTGACGACTATGATTTTGATATTACAATTAAAAAAAAAAAAAAAAAAAAAGGGTAGCCTGAAACTGGAGTTTCGTGAAGGTCGTTCAAAAAGATTGAAGTCATAAGTTGATCTAATCTTGTTCCCCAAAAAATATAGAATAATAAAACTGATCTCATGCTGTCTTTTTAATATAAAAAAAGAAAAAATAAAACCCACAAGCAACCATATAATATACATATCAAATACCCACTTATACATCAAATGCTTTTTTGTAATTTTAAATATATGTAATTATACGAGATAAAGCAAACCAAATACTGAATTACAAGAAGAATTTATAGATCTAAAAGTGGAGGAGAAATTCAAAAGTCGCCATAGATTTCAAAGTTGACCAAAGTATTGTTTAATCATTCCTTTCCCTTTAACAAGACTGTGAAATATCGGCTCAATTTCTTCAATTTAAAGCAAGATTTTTGTCAACATTTCTGAGGCAAACCCATATGGGATTTTCTTTATTTTCAATCACAATAGTTAAAACAGATAGCTCCCCGGCCCTTTCCTCAATTCTAGGTAAGTCCTTATTTTTAGGAATTTTATAAACCATGCTCAAAACTTTATACTATCGCCAGCAACACAACTTAGAAGATGATTTAGCCAATCCGACTCCTATAACCTGCTTTACTTTACTACGCAAACTTTTTTCTGAATCAGACCCGTGCCCGCAAGGCCTCAGACATGTATTTCATTTCCATTCAATTTGGCAACTGTCGGGTCCAACCCGGCAAGCAATTTGCCAATCAACCAATCCCCAATAACCATTTTCTTCTAATTATTTCAATGGGTTTACTAATTTAAGCTAAGGATGGCTGAGAACCGTCAATGGCGGCCATTCAATAATTAAGCACATAACTTAACTGAAAAAAGATAAAAGAGTATGCGTGTGATATTCTTCAACCTCAAAACACAACTTTGTCAAAATGGGGATGCTCTTGGAATTCAATAAACACTATTTCAAAGTAATTATAGTCATCTAAGACTTAAAGCTAGCTACCAAAAATGAAAGTCTTAATCTCTTCATTTAGTGACTACTCCATCGCTTTGATTTTGATGCTTGTACGCATAATCGTACATTTGAAATTTTTTGATAGTAGAGAGAATAAGTTTGAAGTAGAAAAGTTGCTTTCATCCAGCTTGGAATCTGAAGCCGTACTTCACAGAAACTTCGTTTCAGAAAAAGAGTTTAAGTGTCTTAGAACATGTGAGCCCAACTGGCTTCAGCTTTTCTATCATCTTTACAATCACACCAACAATGTTCTTCTTCTTCTTCTTCGAAACTTACAAGCTACAAATTCCGTTCCAAGAAGCAAATTGCATCTCTCTTTTTAACTTTATTCCAGCTTTTATTTTCATTTTCTTTTATGTAATGTGCGTGCATTGATAGCTACTTTATTCTCTGTCCGGCTTTGCCATTGAAAAAAGTAACTCTACAACTACTCTTTTGTTGCTCCAACACTGGTACTTGCAGTGTTCCCGTATTGCTTTTTTTTTTTTTAATGTCTCTTTTGCTTTTCTTTTCTTGTGTCAATAAAGTTGAATTTATAATTATAGCTTTCTTTTGTGCCCTCTGGTTTACTGGGATGGGCTCAACCGTGGAAGGTTTTAAATGAATGGGCCCAGTGGAGTTCCATTTGGGCCTAAGAACAACTTATGATCAATGAATGCTGTTTTTTGGACCATTGAAACACTTTTTATTGCAACAATAGGGTTTTGGTATGGGCAGATCCAAGTCAAGTTTAGTTCATCATTTTATTGTATTATCCATTTATGCCCATGCTATTTTGGAATTCCCAAAGCATGAATAAAAGGAAAAATATCTCCATCTCTTTGCACATCTCATATAGACTGAGAAAAGCCATGTGTCCATGATGATAGAAGAAACTCAACCACCATATCAACATTTTTAATGAGAACCAGTCGGTCAAGTGACCCAGATGAAAAATATTGAAGCTGAGGTAGGCAGTGTTGTAATTCGATCAGTTCAATAACTACTTCAATATAAAATAATACTCCTGAAAGCATTATTTTTTAGTATTACTTCTTACTTCTTAGTCAATACATTACAAACATTACCTAAACGTGACAAGTCTCTAGGTAAAAGCTTTTTCATACAAGAGTGGACAACCATTAGTACAAAGTGATAGTATGCACAAAAAAGGGTTTCTATTTACACTAGATTTGAAAAAAGAAGACTAGTGTTTGGGGAGCATTTCCAAGTGTTTAATGCCTTCAATTAGACTGTATCAGTTCTGGGATAAGCTTAGTAAAAAGAAATGAGAGTTCATCCTTTGAGATTTCGAGCTTTGTTTTTAATATCATCTTTCCATCCTCTCCAAACAAGCTCTCTTCTTCAACATTTACATTGCTAATTAAATCTGTGATTGCCTCAGTGATCTCTTCAACAAGGTCAACAATCACCCCTTCAACTCCCATTAAACGTTGCAAGAAGACCACCTCCGGAACGTTACTGTGCAGATATCAGAAACAAGTATTGTCAGTTGGGTTGGCGAAATCCAATGTCAATATTAACTTCTTAGAATCAAGTTATAAGCTTACTTCAATTCGCCGTATGTTACAAGAGAAAGCTTGCACTCTTTGATTCTTGCTAATACCCCTGGATTTTTAAAGATAGCTTTTACTTCAGATACAATCCCTTGCAAGCCACCAACCATGCACACCTTAATGGCCTCATCTAAAGAACCCCTTCTTACATCTGTGTAATTTTGTGCCCCTCCATTGGTTAAGAAGAACACCTGAACAGTAGCATTACCGAAAAAAGCTTTAGGTTCTTAATGAAATAAATGAAATCAGTAAATTCGATGTTTTTATCTATCTTAACTTACAGGGTAAGTGCTCTGCAGTTTCCGGATCAACAGAGCAGCATCGGGTTGAAAGCTGGAAAAGAAGATAGGCCTGTCCTTGGCATGCTTAAATACCACCTGCTCCATAATTTTTTTTAACATTGTTCTAGATTAATATGCAAGGATTAAAACGAGTTTATTGCATAAACAGAAGAAGGAAGAAATGGATACCTGCAAGATAACTTGAAGTATATGTGAAAGTTGTTCTTCTTCGTAATCTATCTGATCATCAAACTTCAATTCAATATTAAAGCCTATTGAGTGATCAACTTTCTCGAAAGCCTCTTCCAATGTACATAGAGGAGCATCTTTTTCAACCTTCCATTCAAAAATTCTTCCATCCTTTAGTTTTCTAAACATAGGCTTCCCCACCTGAATTTTTATTAACAACAGAATAAGTAATGACTTTCAATTTGAATCCATCTTTTTAAGAACGAGAAAAACTTACACGAAACATGTCGCGAGCTATCATCATAATTAAGGGTTTCAAAAACTAAGAAACATATGACAAATATTTAGTGAAAATAACCTGATAATACACCATCCATCTAAGAATTTCTCTTCCAAAACACACAAGTGTACATTCAAAAGGAGGCAATAGAATATGACACTTACTTTTCCAGGCTCTTTCTGGGGTCCATAGGAAAGAAATTCTTCTAAACTGAGATCAGTCACTCTTTTCTGAACAATTAGACCCTAGAATCAAATACCCAAATCAATATAAATCAAAATTTCTAAAGTATAATCTCCGAGGTCATAGAAATAGGTATTCAGAAACATGGTTTATATGAAGCATGTAAAAGGCACAAACCTTTTCTTGAGAGAGGATGAAATTGTCATGGAAAATGACTGGACATTCATCTTTGGTCACCTGTAACAAATATGTTTTTTTTGTTTACGACAAAAGGTTCTTCGCTCACCCAACCAATAGTAAAAGCCAAAAAAAGAATAAGAAAGACAAAAAGACAAGTAAACTAATCAGTATCCCTCCATTAAAATTCTGCAGAAATTATATTCCCTTTAACACCATTAAAGTAACAAAAATGATATCTATTCTTATTTACTACACCGAGGATTGGAATTTGGATAAGATGACTGAGGACTCAACTTCCTATGTAACAAAAAGTCAACAACCACCGCTGAAATTAATTAGAGTAAACGACATTTTCCCACCCAGGGTTTGGCGAATTCACAAGTTCCCACCCATGATTCCATAAATTTCAGATTTTCGCCCTTAAATTGACATAAAATTGTTTAATATAACAGTTAAAAGGTAAAATAATCATTTCAAATATAAAATTTTTCAAATAACCCTTAACTTCTCAAATTCACCCCACCAGCGATTTCAGGCCATTCTGGCCTATTCTCAACCCCTCTCGGCACCACCATTACAATTATGGGTGGGTAAAAAAATAGGGTAGAACCGAAACTGATGGGTACCCGGGTTTCAGTTTAGGTTCTACTCGGAACCGAGTGCCACAAGGTTGGTTTCGGTTCCAAAAACCTGGAACTGATACTATACGGGTTCGGTTTTGGTTCCGGTTCTGGTTCTACCACCTTAGGAACCAGAATCGAACCCTAAAACCAGGACTAAATTAAATATTAAAAAAATATAAGGACCATTGAAAATTTTACGATTCAATTAAAGTTTTTCCTTATTTCTTCTGGAATTTTCTCTTGCTTGTTTTATTCACAACTAAATTTAATTGATGTCTTACCTTGTTATTAAAATTAATTCACCATTCTTAGTAAAAACAACTTTATTTTTCTAGTCATTTTCTTCTCATCATCTATACTAAACACAACAACACAAAAACCAATTTTTTAAATAAAAATAACTCTATTTTTTCCTTCCATTTTCTTCTCATTGATATTAAACACAACACACACACACACACAAGGGAGAAAACATGAAATCCAAATCCAACAAATTCCGCCATTTAACATTAATATTAATAGAAACCCAAATCTTCATTTTTCATATAAAAAATCAACAAAGCATAAAAAAAAATCAATTTGGCTAGACTTTCAAATTCTGCCTACTATTTGTAAAAATTAGGCACAAATCCTCTTTTAATAAATGCAAAAAAGGAGAAGGAGGAGAAGAAGATAAGAGAAGAAAAGACATCTACAATAAGGTGTTCTTCATTTTCTCTTAGCTAGGGTTTTGTGGGGGGAAGAAGAAGATAAGAGAAGAGAAAAGTGAACTTGGCTTAGTTTGTTTGTAAGTGACGCTTAGGGTTTTAGCTTATAAAAAAGGCTTTTCAAAGTGATTGGTACATGATTTATAATCCAATGGTCAAAATTCGTTGTGAGATGGGGGTGTACTTGTAACTTTTTGAGGGTTTATTTGTCATTTTTAAATAAATATCGACCATTTGGTAATTTTATCAGGCACCCAGAACTGGAACCGGAGCCTGTAAAACAGGTTTCGGTTTCAACTATTAAGGAACTAAAATCGTCGGTTCCGATTCTGATTCCTTCAAAAAGGGTGGGTATTACAATCCCCTCAACCCCCACATCAAAACCCCTAACCTCCCCACTTGATTGAACCCCCCAATCGCTAGCCGCTGTTCTTAGTTTCAGTCGGGGTTTCATCCAAATTCGGTGGGTCCCGACATCGAAACCACCCTTAACACCACCAATAACATCACTGGCTTCCCCCCACCAAAACCTCCAACATCGCTGATCACAATTGCTCATTGATCGTCGCCGCTTCTCCCTTAGGTTTTTGCCTGTTGTTACGCCTTTCCAACTAAATTCTGGCAACTCGTCCAGGTGCACTCGGGTGAAAAAGTTAGGAGTTTTGGTGAGGAGGATAAGGAGATATTGATGGTGGTGTCGAGGAGGTCTAATGGTGTTGGAATTAGGTTGGATTTTTGGCTTGGTTGGGATCTCCTTCGGGGGTTATTTGAGAGAAATTTGAGATGGGGGGTTACTTGGTAAGAAAAGTAATGGTGTTAATTTAAAGGTGGGACTCTGGAATTTATGAAACCAGGGGTGGAAACTTATAGATTCACCAAACCTTGGGTGGAAAAATGTCATTTACTCAATTAATTAAGAAGAAAAAAGGGACCAAAACAAGTCTCTAATATGAGGCTCCTGTTAAAAGGCATCAGTTTCATGGCGAAATGCGAATGGTGGAAAAGTTAGGGGTTTTGGTGAGGAGGATAAGGGGATGTTGATGGTGGTGTCGAGGAGGTCTAATGGTGCTAGAATTAGGTTGGATTTTTGGCATGGTTGGGATCTCCTTCGGGGGTTATTTGAGAGAAATTTGAGATGGGGGTTACTTTGTAAGAAAAGTAATGGTGTTAATTTAAAGGCGGGACTCTGGAATTTATGAAATCAGGGGTAGGAACTTGTCGATTCACCAAACCTTGGGTGGGAAAATGTCGTTTACTCAATTAATTAAGAAGAAAAAAGGGACCAAAACACGTCCCTAATCTGAGGCTCCTGTTAAAAGGCATCAGTTTCGCGGCGAAATGTGAATAGAGACAGATAACGGCTGGGATTGAGCGTGACGTGGTGGGTTTCTAGACATCACATGAAACCCATTTAGTCCACGTGCAACTCTCCACAGATACCGGACTCGGTCAAAACCGTTATTCCGAGAAACGACGTTAAAGAAACGGAAGAAACTTGCCGGAAAACGATCGGGAAATTAAATTTAAAGAAATGATAAAAAAAACTAACCTGAACGTCAAATTNGGTTTTTCAAAGTGATTGGTACATGATTTATAATCCAATGGTCAAAATTCGTTGTGAGATGGGGGTGTATTTGTAACTTTTTAAGGGTTTATTTGTCATTTTTTAAACAAATATGGACCATTTGGTAATTTTATCGGGTACCCATAGTTGGAACCGAAACTGGAACCTGTAAAACAGGTTTGAAACCGTCGATTTTGATTCTATTTTTCAAGAACCGGTTGGTTCCGGTTTCGGTTCCGATTCCTTCAAAAAAGGCGGGTACTCGGACCTACCCACCCCTAATTACAATCTCCTCAACCCCCACATCAAAACCCCTAACCTCCCCACTTGATTGAACCGCCCAATTGCCCGCCGCCGTTCTTAGTTTCAGTCGGCGTTTCATCCAAATTTCGGTGGGTCTTGACACCGAAACCACCCTTAACACCACCAATAGCATCAGTGGCTTCCCCCCACCAAAACCCCCAACATCGCTGATCACAATTGCTCATTGATCGCCGCCGCTTCTCCCTTAGGTTTTTGCGTGTTGTCGCGCCTTTCCAGCCAAATTTCGGTACCTCGTCGAGGTGCACTCGGATAGAAAAAGTTAGGGGTTTTGATGAGAAGGATAAGGGAATGTTGATGGTGGTGTTGGGGAGGTCCAATGGTGTTGGAATCAGGTTGGATTTTTGGCTTGGTTGGGATCTCCTCTGGGGTTATTTGAGAGAAATTTGAGATGGAGGGTTATTTTGTAAGAAAATTAATAATGTTAATTTAAAGGTGGGAATATGGAATTTATGAAATCAGGCGTGGGAACTCGTAGATTCACCAAGGTTTGGGTGGGAAAATGTCGTTTACTCAATTAATTAAGAAGAAAAAAGGGACCAAAACACGTAACTAATCTGAGGCTCCTGTTAAAAGGCATCAGTTTCGCGGCGAAATGCGGATAGAGACAGATAAGGGCTGGGATTGAGCGTGACGTGGTGGGTTTCTAGACATCACATGAAACCCATTAAGTCCACGTGCAACTCTCCACAGATACCGGACTCGGTCAAAACCGTTATTACGAGAAAACGACGATAAAGAAACAGAAGAAACTCGCCGGGAAACAATCGGGAAATTAAATTTAAAGAAAGAAGAATTAAAAGAAATGATAAAAAAAACTAACCTGAACGTCAAATTCAATGAAGTCAAGAGGGAAAATGGTGGCTGCATTGAAGGCAAGAATTGTATTCTCTTTGATTGATTTCATTCTTTTATCAGGTGACTGCAACATGTTCATTCCAGTTCCTCTGTGTCCCATGACAACAAATTTTGGAAACTTAAAACTACCCTTTACTTCATCGCTATCACCATTAACACCTGATAATTTAAAAACAACAAAAACTCAACTAAGGTTTTGTATATATAAAACAAAAATATTTACATATATATAAAAATCAAAACTTGATTCATTAAATGAAACTTACCATTGCAGAAGCGGGTTGCGCAGAAGTTTAATGCTACATTATCAGGGACTTGATCAAGATTGGGAACATCGGAGACATGAACAGCTTTGAGAGCCATTTTTGTTATTTATTTTATTAAATTGTCTAAGAAAGAGGAGGATTTCAAGAATGAGAGAAGCAGAGGACAACGGTAATTTCGACGTTGGGTAGAAGGTAACACAGGAGCGTGGTATTTAAAAGGTCGGTATATGATTTTCATTGGATGGAATAAAGGAATATTCCACTAGTTTTTGTCTTTTTTTTTTTTTTTAACTGAAATGTCAAAACGCACATACGGGAATTCGATTTGAATCGTGTCATTTGACGTGTACCAATACGAGATATATTGATGTCGTTTGGTTTATTATTTAATTTTATTTTCAGATCATGTTTTATTGAAAGAAAAAGCAAGGGAAATGTAATCGGCAGAAACTTGATAATATGATAAAAAGGTTGTCTTGTGAGAAATAGTTGAACATTCAAACTTCTAGACAATTGGAGAAAGGATTTACAAATGAAGCATGGGCCAGAAAGTAATAATATGAAACAAGATGGGTCTGCTTAGAATTATAGATACTTCTCTATCATCAAAACAACACACGTACATTTATGAAGAAATCTACGTGTTTATTGGACATCATCAATAATTTAATTTTCATTTGGCTTTATTTATTAATGGGATTTGGTTTTGTCAGGCGGTAGGGAAAAGATGACAAAGTGGAGAAAAAGAAAGGATGGTTAGATTAATACAATGTATTCATTAATGGTGGCGCTGGTGCTAATCGAGTCCAGCGAAGATCGCAATTCCCAAATGGGAGATGGAATCTTGTATGTGTTTGTTTTATTGACTTTAAAGGATTGACATGAAATATTGTTTCTCTGCTTTTGGGTAAATGTAAGATGAGAAATAAAGTGGATGACCAAATACAAGGAACTTCATTGGAGAGGCCTTTTAAGCAGATGACTATAAGCAGTGTTGTAACCCACTTGGGTCTTTGCTGATTCTTAAGCCATCTTCTAATAGTTGCCAGCCAGCCACGAGTGGAATGCACTACCAATTCAATGACATGGTAAACATTGTTTTTCTTATTTGGGCTTGAAAGCTTGCGCCCAAATAGGTAGATCTCATCACCAGGTCCAGCAATTAAGTGGCCGACGGTCCAATCCAATATATCGGTTCACTAATCGAAACAAACACACATTGTAATTTTCCTGCACTATTATTATACAGAGAAACGCTAGAAATTCCAAAATAATATCTCAAAATCCATATCCCAAATAATGTTATTATTTTAAGTGACAATGATACATAAAGTATGAATTAATGATGGGTCTTATAACATGATATTTACATATAAATTATGAATAACATAATAAGATCACATAAAAGAACATATCACCTACAATAATTTTATTACAATAGTACTAACAGTATGTGAGAATACAAATACATAATTACAGTATGCTTATTTATTAATAGCTCAATTGTTACTTCTAGCTCTAGGACTACTACTTGAACTTGATGTTTTCATAATACGATCTTTACACTTAATAATTCTTTTTTTTTTTTTTTTCGTTAACTAGGGGTGTCTAAGTTTCTAACCAATTTGTATGCACCTCAATTAATCCCCGATAACCTTGAATTTAACGGCCGAGTAACTTCCAGTGCCATCCCTGTTAGCAATTAAGGAGAATCGTATTCAAAACTTCTTGAGTAATACACCTAAGAATCTCTATTCGACCGTTTGGCCACCTAGTGGTAGGTTAATTAATAATTATTTTAATATGATATACATTAGTAATCACAAGATAAGTATGTCTATAAATCAATGTCAATCAGATTATTTGGAATATCAAATTAAGAGGGTAACTTAGGATATATGATAATTGATTTCCGTGCGATCAAAATATATACATTTTTTTTCCACCTTCCCTATCAAAAGACAAAACTGAAAATGGCATGATTTTTGTACTCTTCTTTTTCAACATGTTAAAATAGTGAAGTAGTTGAAATCAACACTTGTAATTATAAAATCAAAAGTAGAGAAAGGTGTCACAAATCGTGAAAAGGGGAGCGTTAAGCCCGCCGGTGGTACTCAAGATGGGAACATATGTCCGATTGCATCCTACATTTAGTAAGCACCGTCCATTTTGCCCTCTTTGTATAATCAAGATAGGTGTAAATGGAACTCAAATAACATTACTCTCAACCACGAAACCAATACCACAATACATAGAGGGTTTAATTCTCTCTGTATGCGCTCAGTCGCCAAAACAAACAAGAAAAAGGATAGTAAAGAGTATCCCTTTTTCTATAAGAAGAATAACACCTTTGGCCAAAAGGGTTTTGGCATTAAAGCTAGTAGTTTTAGACACTGCCAAAGATGTTTCCACACCAGATATACGAGGAAGATTAACCATTATATCTTTCTTTCTGTTTGTACATCCCATTCATACATGCTTTTCTCTGGTGTAAAATTATGCACAGATAGTATCTCTTGTGCTGAAGCTTGAAGGGTTAAAATGCTCATTTTTGCATCCAACATTTGAAATAGCAGTACAAGCTTTTATTTTATTCTGGCCCTGTCACAAATCAAGAGTTAAAAGAGCTAAGGAAATAAAATGTAACAGTACATCACACATAGGTCATTCATGCATATCCCATTATAGCTCCGCAAAAACAGCTTACTCACAATACGATCTTCACTATTAATAATACTTTTAACGGGTAATGTTATATACAAAATGCTTTATTAAATGATCATGCGATTATAAAATGTATATCTATAAATCTGTGTCAAATTATTTGGAATATAAAAATGAAGAGGATAACTTGGGATATATTATAATTGATTTTCTTGCTATCAAAATATGTAGAATTTTGTTTCCACCTTCACTCACAAAAGACGTAACTGAAGTCTGAACGTATTCTTTTTCAACATGTTAAGATTGTCAATGATTCACGACTACTGGGTCAAAATTCAGGAGAGAAAGTTGCTATAAATCATGGAAAGGGAGGCGTGAAGTACGCCGCTGGTACGGAAGATAGGGAACATATTTCTATTTAAGAAAGGAACTCAAATAACATTAATCTTTATAGATTAGTATATGATATTATGCTGTGTATTAACTATTATGACATTCATTTTTTATTTTATTTTCTGCTGAATTTTATTTTCCTATCAGTAGAGGTGTCTGGTCAGTTTGCTTGCACGTCAACTAATATTTCAAAACTTTAAAACTCGACCGGACAAGAGCCCCAATGATCATTCATTTTAAAGCTTGAGAGTACGAACTCATATAACTTTCTTTTGCTTTTTTATCACCATACCATGAGTGGTGTTTCAGCGCACAACTCGATGGATGAGTTTACAGTACTCTTCTTCAGTGTCTTCTTAACTAAGAAATCAACCGCACAATACATAAGAGTTGAATTCACTAGGCGTGCGCTCAGTTGCCCATAAACAGAAAGTATAATCAGGAGTATTTCTATAAGAATAATAACCAATTTGGCCTAAAGGTTATTGGCATTAAAACTAGTAGATTTAGACACAGCCACGGCTGTGCAAGGTTGTGCACTCTTTGCCCAGATGTTTCCACCCCAGATAGAGAAAAAGATTAACCGTAGTGCTTTGTTTTTGTATGTACATTCCATTCATACATGGGGAAAAATGTAGTTTTCTTGAATAAATTAGATAAAGAATATTATTTCTTTTCTATGGTGTAAAATTGTGCGTGGAATAGTATCTCGTGTTTAAAGGGTTAAAATGCTTCTTCTCGCATACAACATTTGACATAGACGTACATCCTGGGTAGCTTTATCATATTCTGGTCCTATCCCAAATCAAGAGCTCAAGATCTAGGGAAATAAAACAAACAACACCTCACACAAGTGCATGTCCCACCATTAGAGCTTCGCAAAAACAGCTTTTCTTTTATGGATTTGTGCTGACACAGCCTCCATTAGATCATCGGATAAAAGCATAGCAGAGTTCCAAGTTGCAACATAATCTAAACCTTGATCCACAGTCATGTCTCGGCCTCTTAGTAACACTGCCTTTGTCCCAGTGACAGCTAGAGGAGACTTCGCAGCAATTCCTATCAAAAGCAATTTATTAATATCATTTCTCAACTTAAGGCTGACCAATGACGAGACAGGAACTCTGTACAGGCAAATCAAAGAAGTAACCTCTAACTACATATGTTCATGGCATCCAGCCAAACCATAAAAATTAAATCAGACAATTAGCTTCAGATAATACATGATTTTTATGATCTAATTGTGCTTTTCAAAACAATAAACATGTTATTTGATCGTCCCTCAATCTTCAAAATAGCTTGGTTCATTCATCCTGGCAATGCTTAAATCTGAGTGGTGATAGTCTATTTATGGCATTCGGAAAGGACAAATATGAACAAAAGCAAACTAGGAACTCTATAGAGTCTACAAATTTGTCATGAAAAAACCAAAAAGTAACCGAAATTAAGAAACACATTGACTAAAAAGATTTCAAAAAATGCTTAAGATAACCGCACAAGAAGTACCAATATTATTAACAAAAATTAAACATAGTCAGATAGCCTTGTTTCAGTTCAATACAAACATACAATTGCAGGTCTTATATTTGTCTCATTGAACTTTGTCATAAAAAATCTTCACCCAGGAAAGATTTTATACAATCGAGCAGGGTCTCCAAACTAACCCAGACTATTTCAAGGGATTATATTCCCAAATCCATGTTTAAACCTCTTAAAAATTGACCAGACAACAATATCAGTCCCAAAAGTTAATCATGTATTCATGGGACAAGTAGACCTATGAGACCAGTGATTATCATTCCATTTAAGGTTTATTGGTGTTTCTCTCTATTCAAAGTGTGTAATTTTCCCGCCCTAACTTGCCACATCACTACCAATTAATCTGTAAATAGTTAATAATATATTGTATAGTATATCTCCGAGAGATTCAATCCTGAAATTGCATGTAAAAGATCAAACCAGAAACAAATTACAAACTCACCCTCAGCAACATGTCTTACACCCGCATCCAATTCTGTCTTCGACCCGAAAGCCCGAGAAACCAGACCCAAGTCCTTAGCTTCCGAACCCGAAAATCGTCGACCCGTCAACGCTAACTCCATCGCGTTACCAAACCCAACGATCCCGGG